GATGGGATCAGGGGTGCTTGTGCTGCTCTGTGGGTTTGTAAGAGCCCAGGTCCTGCCTGGCCTGATGGACACCAGAGCCAGGAATCCTTTTGTAAATAAGGAGCTGTTTCACCGTGGAGAAACGAAACACAGTTCAGCAAACACTAAAGGGCTGATTTACTTTTAAGAACGTTGTTTAATCCCGTTGAAATTGAGAGGATTATTTATCCTTAAACCCGTGCTTAAGCACTTCCCTGGCTGGGGGCTGCGCTCTGTGAGGAGCTGGCCTTGCTCCTTGCAGGAGTTATTGGTGGAAAAATCCCTCTTAAATATTACTGTTCAGCCTTCTGGGGGTGCTTCAAGGAGGTTTTTTTGTACCTGATCCCCTAAACTGGGTCTCTTGGATTTGGGATCCTCTCTGTCTGGAGCCAGGGCTTTGATGTGCCAGGATGTGCAGAGCTGGGGGCTGTTCAGGATGAGAGAACAAAGGGAATTTTGTTGGGGAGRAGGAGAACAGGGAGCTTTTCTCTTAAATTTCCCTGGAAGTCAAACCCTGCCGTGGGACTGTCTGATTCATAAACRGGATTTTTCCTTCAGAAGGCTAAAAATAGAGCATGGAAGGGACTCATTCCATCGGTCTGGGACATCCCTGGGATTATTTTCAGCCCCCTGGAGCAGTGCTGTGTGTTCCAATGGGTCTCCAGTCTCTGTGCCCTGCCTGGGCYCGCTGTTTCAGGTGCCACTCGTGATGTTCTGTGCTGGGATGAGCCCTGGAGCCTTTCAGGGATGTTCTGTTCCCATTTCCCATATGGGAATCACCCACTGAAAAAAAAAAAAAGTGGCAATTTTTTGGTTGCTGCCCCAGCTTTGTGTCCACACATGGGGCACCAGCAGCTCACAGCCAGGCTGGAATTCATGGGAAATTAAATTTAAAAGGAGAGGGATGGAGGCTGCAAAAGCATGAGGGAGAAGGGAGGGTTTGGAGCAGAATCTGCCACAGCAGGATGAGTTCAGGCTCTTGGGGAATCTCCTGGGTGCTCCCCCAAACCTGTGTGCTCCCCTCCCAGTGCACTGCAAAGCAGTCCCAAAATAATAATAAATTTAGGTTTTCACTCCAGCATTGAAATGGTGAATATGAACAAAAGTAAAACACAATTTGTATCTACAAGGGACTGAAACCCATTCTTTGTTCCTCTTCGCTGAAAATTCCCCGTAGCAATTAAAGCTTCCATCAAAAATGGGAGTTTTTCTGGGAAAAAAAAAAAAAAAAAGAAAAGAAAACCAACAAAAAACTGGTGGTTTTATTGCTCCTGATTGCAAGGCTGAGGAGAATATTTTGGTGTTGAATCACTCCTGGCTGTTTCCTGCCAGAGAAGGGCGATGGTCTGTGCTCACCTCTGACAAACCRATGATGCATCTTCATTGAATGGAGAGAAGTCAGAGCCCTTCAGCCTTGGCAAGTTTGCCTCAATAAGATCATTTTGTGTGAGGAGAGGCACGAAAGGAGTTGTAATCCTTTTGTAATAAAATAAAAAGTGAGAGGGTTTTTCTCAGCGCCTCTTAGCGTCGCGTGAWAGCTGTCAGGGCAGGTCTGGGCTGATTAAAGGAGTGCAGGGATGGAGTTTCCTCGGATGAAGATGTTCAATAATATACTCTTAGCTGAGGGTTAAATGATTTTCGTGCTCAGTGGTGGAACCAAAAGCAGCTTTRGCACTGGCAGTGTCCTCCCAGCCCTGGGGGTGACATTGTGACACTGATGGGGGGCACAGCTTTAATTTCAGGGGGAATTCAGTTCCAAACACCTCCTTGGGCTCCCCCAAACCTTCCTGTGTCCTCAGTAAGCACAGCAGCATCTTTTTCTCTCATTTCCAGGTGATCTCGGCAGTATCCAGGCTCTCCTTCCACAGCATTGCTCAAACCAAAGGAATTAGGTAAGATCCTGTCCATTTGATGATTTAAAATCACATTTCTCTCCCTCCCTCTCCACATTCCTCGTGTTGAATCATCACATAGGAGCTGCATAATGGGGTTTAACAGACACCAGGGGTGCCTTTGGGATGTAGAAAGGATACTGAAAGCACCTTTCAGGCTGCTGGGGGATAGTTTGAGATGGAATAAGTGAAGCTGTGATGAATTGTGTGCRCTGTCTCTGCTGGGCAGGGCAGCACACAAAACACAAGAGAGTTTTGGTGTCTCTTGCTGGAGGTTTTGCTCAGGTTCAGGGGGTTCCCAGGAGCTGTGGCATCACCCCAGTGTCCCCAGGTGGCCWCTCTGCCATTAATAACCAGGAAATGTCCCCATGGCTCTGTCACAGRCAGGAGTGCCCTGGCACCAGGGTGGGCTGGCTCCTCCTCATTCGCTCAGGGAGCAGTGGGGAAGGAATTAAACCCCGCAGACAGCTCCCATTAAACAGAGCTGTTCCCCTGCTCTTTGTTCAAAATTGCCTTGCCATTGTTTCCTCCTTAGCGTGCATTTGTGTCATTAATTTGGGAACAGCTCATTAGGGCCACGGCTATAACTGGGATGAGTTCGCAGCCTAAATTACCTTTCCCTGTTTTTTTTCGGGGGGGGAGAGTGTGTTTTCACCCCCCAGCTGTAAAAAACACTTGATTTTCCCCCCTGCTGCTGCTCTGGGTGGGATCTGTGGTGCATCCCAAGCCRGGATGAAGGGATGCAATCCCTGGATGGGGTCCCTGCCCCATTTCCAGCCCTGCCACCYATCCCCAGCACCCCCTGCCACCATTCCCGCTGTGGGAACATATTTTCCCTGCCTCGATTGCAGCGAAATTGCTGGAGGGGAACAGCTTTTCACGTGTAAAACCAGCTCGGAGCTTTCCCATCTGTTAAACTCGGATCTGACAGATCCGGGCAGGGCTGGGGAGGGAGCAGGGGGTGAGGTTTTGGGGGTAAAGATGGGCTGGAATTTAAGGGCTGTTTGCTGTGGTGATGGTCCTCAGTCCTGGAGGAGCCTGCCGTGATTTTTGTTTGAAGGGAGAAGAAAATCCGAGGATTTTGGGGAGAGGGAGCAGTGGGGGATTCGCAGCACAAACTGCAGTGGGGTTAGGCTTTGGGACATCACTGACAGGGGTTCCAGGGTGTCACCCTGCTGGATCCAGCCCGGAGGGTGAAGGAGCTGCCATCCCCTGGGAAGGTTTTGGCTGCCATCCCTGGGAAGGTTTTGGCTGCCATCCCCTGGGAAGGTTTTGGCTGAGCCTCTGTTGGTTCTGCTGAGGGTTGGGCATCGCTGGGATCCAGGGACGAGGCAAGCTTTGCTATTCCTGCGGCTCTGTGGCTTTTCCTCGTTCATTTTACAGCTGGCATTTACAGTTCCCACTAAAATCCTTTATCTTGGAAGCCTTTGGCACYGTAATTACACAAGAATAGCTCAGAGCTTAGCGAGCCTTTGCTCCTAACTCCGTTTTGCTGTGCATTAACCCTGTTTCTCCTCCCCTCTGCCAGCTCTGCAGGAACACAAAATTCTGTCACTCCTTTAGATGGAAAATAGAACAGACTAGACCAGAAATGAATCTATAATTCCAAAAAATACCCTCCTGGGAGTGTCCCCTCCCACCTCGCTGTCCCCTGCAGCACAGAGCCCTGRTTTTGTCCAGTTCTGCATCTCCTTTCCCTTAAATTAGGCGATTTCTTGAATCCTGTCAGTGGCAGAAATGAATCCCAGATGAATTAATCTGAATTAATGTAATCTCGTGGGGGCCAGCAGCAGCTCTGGCTCCCTGAAGGGACTGCTCACATCAGCCACTGCTGCCCCTCAGCTCATTGGGGTCCCCAAGAATGGTTGGGGTCCATTCTCTTCCCTCTCCCAGTGAAGATCCTTCCATTGGAAGTGAGAAAATTCTTGTTGGCTTAGGCACAGCACTGCAAACCATGGGAAATGCAGTGAAATTCGGATTGTGTGTGGATTGCATGGTCTGCAGCCCCACAGCACAAACCTAGCTCTGCTCCAATCCCTGTTTTAGGGTCTGAGAATCAGGATCACGCAAATTAAGAGTGAAATAAATCCCAAAGCCTATTACTTGCCCTTAAATAAGTTTCGTGGCGTGTAGAAAAATAAAAATCAATCTCGTGTGCTGTTCAGTGAAACAAAAAAAAAAAAAAAAATCACTCTTTCTGTCTTAATAATTTCTGGCTACATAGAGCTTGGCAGAGGAGCCCTGTTTCCCAGAGATAGCTATCAGGATAGCTCTGTGGAGATGACAGAGTGTTTCTTCCAAGAAACAAGCAGCAAAACAGCACAGAGCCTGGTCCTGGATGTGGTGTTTTGTTTGCAATGTGTTTAATGTGCAGCAGCTGTAGGGAACAGGCTCTCTGTTGATGGGATAGGGATTTTTTTGTGGGATTTCCATCCCTTCTGCTGTCCCAAAGGGTTGTACATAGGGATAAAGAGCAGATCCTCGTGTGCAGCATCGCCCAGGAGAGGAGATTCATTTAATTGTTGTTGGTTTTCATCCTTCCCTCCACTCTTTCTGGAGGGCTGTCAGCACTTTCAGGGAGAGGTTTCCCCTTGCTCTGTGCCCATCCCTGGCTGCTCTTGAACAAGGAGCTTTTATTCCTCAGCCAGGATTTTCCCCACCTCTCTGATTCCATTACCCCAATCCCACTCTGGCACTCCAGCCCAGCCTGGAGGATTCTGCAGCAGCCTGGGCTTGGCACAGGAATGCCATGCAAAGCTTCTCCTGTGCTTTGGAGAGTGAATTTTCATTCCCTTTCCCAGTTTTCCCTCCAAGCTTTCTCGAGCAAGCTCAGCTCTCTGGAGGACAATGAGACTTCTTGTTGCAGGTCCCAATAAACCAGGATTATAATTATTTTCTTAAAGCTTTTTTTTTCCCCTTTAAGACTTTCCTACCACAGCCATGAATGTTCCCTGGTGTCCTCTGGGCTCCATCATCCACCTTGTGCCCCCTCATGAATGTGATCCCTGAGCAGAGGAGGGGACATTTGTTTATCCATCCCCCTGAGAGAGATGTTGTTTCTGGAAGCAGAGTTTTGCAGGCAAAGCAGGAGATTAAGGAATATTGGCTCGTGCTGCCTGTGTGCATTTTTAATGTGTGCACAGCTGAGAACAGGAAGGGATTTGCACCTTCAAAGGCCCTGATAGAGGCCCAAAATCTGAGGGAATCCTTTCTGTATGGACTGAAGCTCGCAGTGACTCCCTTCAGAAGGCACCACAGTTGATAAAASAGAGTTAAAACTGTTTGCAAATGGGCAGGAAGGTGAGTCCTGGCTGTCAGAGGAGGTTTTATCTCATGGAGTGATGGTGATGATTTGGCTGTGAAGGACACAGGGATGAGTTTTCCCCATCCTGGGGCCAAGGCAGGACCCTTTTGGGTCAGTTGGRAGAAAAAGTGATCAGATCCAGTGGGAKTGGGTGCCAGGGTGCCCATGGGCATCAGAGCCATCCTGTGTCCATTTTTTTTGGTTGCCCAGGGAAGCTGTGGGTGCTCCATCCCTGGAAGTGCTCCAGGCCAGGCTGGATGGGGCTCTGAGCACCCTGACTCTGTGGAAGTTGTTTTAGGGAGATTGGAATGAGCTGATCCKTCTGATCCCTCACAAACCATTCCAGSATTGTGTGAATTCCCTCATCTCCACAGTGAGAGGAGAGGAGAAAAGCTCAACCCTGGGATTAGCCCAGGCTGGGGGCACCTCCAGGCACCCGAGTGAGCAGCAGCATCTCCCTTCTGCCCAGGTGAAACACCAAACCAGCCTGCTGGGCTGGAAATGAGGATTCTGCAGCGTTATCAGCCCTGAGTTCCTGTGCTTCACAGCTTGCCAATAAAATCAGGATGTGTGGAGGGGGGAAAAAGGGAGGAGGGATGGGAAGGGAGAGTCCGAGCAGCATTCCTGGCAGGAGGTGCCCCTACCCCGCAAAACTTTCATGCCTTTGCTGCCAGTGGGTGATCAGAAAATTCCTCAGTGATGCAGCCACCRGGTCAGAATTAAACCAGGAGTTTTGTCCAGGTTTCATGACTTTAATCCCTTTCCCCATCTRTGATGTGGGGGTGTGAAGGGGGCTGTGTGCTCCCACCAGCAAACCCCACTCGTGGCAGGAGATGTGGTGGCTCAGGGATAAGTTTTCCCTATCCTGGGACCAAGGCAGGACCCTTTTGGGTCAGTTGGAAGAAAAACCGATCAGATCCAGTGGGAGTGGGTGCCAGGGTGCCCATGGGCATCAGAGCCATCCTGTGTCCAGCTCCTGATCTGGTGCTGATCAGGAGCTCCCCTTGCTGTCCTGAAGGAGAGAAGGGAGATGGGGGAAATCTTTTATGGGATTTGCAAGGATTCCCCAGCGGGCTGGAGGCTCCCTGCAGGTCAGATTTGGTCGGGAGTCCAGCAGGGTGTGAAAATGGCAAACAATTAAAGGCGCTAACAATTAAATCCTCAAGTSTCTTCTGCTGAGGAGGTTATTAGGGACTTCTTCTCCTTCAGGCTGGTTTTACAAGGGCTGCTTTATTCCCTGCCAGCGGCTCTCTGGAATTGAGCTCTGCCCATTATCCTTTTACTGCCGTTGTGTTTGCCTCGTTCRCACTTTAAGTGTTGCTGTAAAATGGATGGGGAAGGCTGAAAGAGGATCTGGGAATAGGAACAGCTCTCCTGGAACTGGGACCAGTCCTGGAATTGGGACCAGTCCTGGGACTGGCCAGCAGCACAAATCCAGAGAGSCTCAGCACAAACATCACCAGGTGGAGGTGGATTTTTGCAAAACCTTCCTTAGGAACGACCACGAGGCTCCTCCATTTGCTGATAAGCAGAATGCTTGGCTGAAAAGCAGCTCTGAAAACGTTCCTAACACATTTATTTTGGCAAGTCTGCATCCTCACAGAGAGCCTGAAAAAAAAAATAAATCCCTGACATGTTTTCCTGCTTTTGGAGGCTGGGGGGATGCCGAGGTTACCCCGGTGAGCATCTGCTCCTG